GCCTGCAGACTGCCAAAATGACATCATTTTATTTCTACTTTTAACCACTATTGTTCATAGCCTTAGTTTAATTTCTATAAAACTTCCATAATTTCTTGGCTATGTTGTTGGATGACCACTGTGGCAAAGGAGGGTTGGGTGTGTGGTTCAGCAGCAGGTAAGCAGGAAAATCTAGGAGGCAGCATCATGGCAGCTGATGGGTCTGGAGGACTGGAGGGAACGGATGGTGTAGGAGACCAGAGGAGACTGAGAGTATGCAACCAGAGGCCCTGTGTGGAGGTTAATCTGCTGAATAGTGAAAGGGGAAGATGACTGAGACAGGAAGAAACGAGGAGTACGATTCATTTGGCTTTCAGAAGAACTTTTTTTTAACACTTCAGCATGGGCAAGGCTATTGTATACCTGACACTATACATGTTTCAGGCAGTTTCCAAGCAATGAAGTAGCTTCTCCAATAATGTGTTTACATTTAATCCATCAGTGAAAAGCTACTTATTGATCTCCCATGATGTGCCCGGATCTATGCTAGGTTCTCTACTAAATACAAGCCCTATTCTTTTTTTTTTTTTTCTGGAGTCTCACTCTGTCGCCCAGGCTGGAGTGCAGTGGCCAGATCTTGGCTCACTGCAACCTCCACATCCCGGGTTCAAACAATTCTCCTGCCTTAGCCTCCTGCGTAGCTGGGATTACAGGTGTCCACCACCACGTCCAGCTGATTTTTCTATTTTTAGTAGAGACAGGGTTTCACCATGTTGGCCAGGTGGGTCTTGAACTCCTGATTTCAGGTGATCTACTTGCCTCAGTCTCCCAAAGTGCTGGGATTACAGGCATGAGCCATCATGCCTGGCCACAAGCCCTATTCTTAAAGAACTTATAATCCAACTAGTCAAACATAACATGTACCTAAAATAACTCAATAGCATAGGAGAAAAGTGAGTGTAAAATATATGGATGTCAACTCTCTATATTAAAGAAATTTAAAAGAACAGTTGATCACTGAGGGCCAAGATAGTCAAGGAAGGCTCCATAGAGGAGGTTGGAATAAAATGACTGGGATAGAAAGGGAGACAAAAAAAAAGGTGTACCAGGACGGGTAGAAAAGGCCAGAATGAACAGTAAGAGCACCAGGACACATGGAGAGTGGTGGGGTGAAAGGCTATAGAGGTAGGCATTGGGCCTGACCATGGGTAGTTTTGAAAATCAGGAATAGGCACCTAGACTTGGTATGGTAAGAAACAGAGAAAACACAGGCCCTCTCTTTTATCTTTACCATGATGTTTTGCAAGTTAAGAAATCTACTTGAAAGCATCTAACCCTTAACCTGATAGGATGCTAGTAAATATTTATTCACCCCAGAGAGTAATACATTGGCGGCGGTGTGCAGAAAATACTTCATTCATTCATTCTTCAAGCATCTACTGGACGTCTTCGACATGCTATATTCTGAGCTAGACACAGAGGATGCAAAAATTATAATAAAGTCATGGTATCTCATTCGGGTTAGATTATCATAGACTGGATCCTCCTATCTACTGGTAACCAAGAGGTGCAGAGTTCCCATACCTGTGCTGTGTTTCTACTTTGCACCTCATCAAAGTAATGCTGTCTGTCTTGCCCACTTAAATCTGACCCCAGAGGTCACTTCTTGTGTTTATTTAAAAACCAGGGTTTGTGCCCATTTCCTTATGCTCATTAGGGCAGGTTAGGCTCCCAGTGCTGAGTTGCTGGCCTCCTTGAAGCGCCAACCAAAACAAAAAATATCAGCCTCCTAGTATGTCTGGCAAGAACTTCTGAGATAAATCACGTGAAAGTGTTTCAAAATCTGAGGGAGGCCATCCAAACATAATGGATAATTACTGTGATCACCATCAATGATGGCCGGTCCTCTGCTCTTGGAGCATGGTCTCTCAGAGCTAGGTTCTCATGATCATGCGTATGCAAAGGGCCCTGACTTACTTTTGGATTCCTTTGCTTATTGACTATGCATAAGAGGCCACGTTTGGCATCCACAAGTAACTATTTTCAGGCACATTTGTCTAGTTTAGCTGTGAGCTAGTTTGTTTACAAACAATGTGGTCTGCACACAAGGCTGGGAGTTCAGGCGCTGAATAGAATTCCCACTCAGTTTCTAGCCTGCTGTATGACCTTGGGTAACCTGCATAACTTCCCTGTGTCAATTGGTTCTTAACTGTCACCTCAGAGTCATGCTGATTTGTCTAAGAGATGTTTGGAGAGGATGAACCGTTCATCACCTCTAAACTGATTTTTAAATACTGACATACTGACATATAAGGAACTTAGAAGTTACCATTCCATTGTAATCATAAGTACAAAACTAAGCACAGAGAGTAAAACAATGGCTACCAGGGTATGGGAGGGGTAGGAAATGGGGAGAAATAGGTTAAAGGGTACAAATTTGTAGTTATGTAGGATGAATAAGTCTAGAGATCTGACATACAGCATGAGGACTACAGTTAGTACTACCGTATCATACACTGAAAATTTGCCAAGAGAGTAGATTTTAGGTGCTCTTAACACACAAACACACTCACACACACACACACACACACACACAGTAACTATGGAAGATGATGGGTGGGTTAATTTTCTTGGCTGGAGTAAGCATTTTACTGTATATAGGTATATCAAAATATCATGTTATACACCTTAAATATATACAATTTAAAAAGCCAAACAAACTACAAAATCAGCAACTCTTCTTAGATCTGTCAGAGAAGTGAGGCCACAGGGCAATCACTGCCCCCAAAATTGGAGAGACAGACAGGTGGATACAGAGCATCCTATGGGATATCCACAAGTGATCACATTTTAACCGAAAGAAAAACACCAATAAATTCCAAAATGTAAAAATAGTGCAGGAGGCATTTTCTGTTCATGATGTAATATAGCCAGATCTTAATAAAACAAGATAATAAAACAACAAAATATTCTAATATCTAGGAAAAAACCCCAAAACTCTTTAAAGCAACTCTTGAGTCATAAAGAAAATCAAAATCAAACCTAATATTCAGAAAATAATAAAATGTTTAAATTTAAAATAAAAATATATTTTAAGGAAAGATAGATAGAAGATAGACAGAAGCTATGAAGCTATATAAAAAAGAAAGCAAGGAAATGGAAAACAAAGAATTCAGCATGATCTTTATCTCTGATGGTTGGAGGCGTGGTATGGACAGAAGCAGAGGGAGGGTATGGGAGGGGCGATATAGGTAGATGGAAGTTATTGTCAAGATGCATTGGGTGATGGGTCCATATTTTAAAAATTATGTTAAAAAAAGGAAGAACTAAACAAAAAATGGCTATGCATTTACTAATGATGAGAGTGTATCATAAATTAAGGATGATGATTAATCCAATTCTGTGCCAGAAACTAATTTAGAAATAACTATATACTAGAACCTAAGGACTGCAATTTAAAGCAGTGCTCAGAGGAAAATTCATAGCCTTCCATATGTAGAATCATAAACAAAAGTAACATCTTTTGTTAAAATTGAAGTAACATCTGACTCAAAGAGTTAATAAAAAGAACTGAATAATAATAATAAACCTAAAGAAAGTAGAAACTAAAAGCAGAAATTATTTAACTAATAACACACAAAGTGGTGTGTGTAGTGGTCAGATTGAAATAAATTATGGACTATCCATACAGTTCAATACTCTGTGGCTATGAAAAAGGGAAGAGAAAGCTCTCTCTGGATTGATAGGGAATAATTGCCAAGCTATGTATAATAGCTAAGTAAAAAAAAAAGCAAGGTGCTTTTATGTAAAGTGTGCTATCATTTGTCATTTGTGTAAGAATCAGGAAAGAAAAAGAATATCTACATATATATATGCGTGTGTGTGTGTGTAGATATACATATAAAGATATATACCTATATACACATATATACACATATATGTATACACATACACACCTGCACATATATGTAATTGCTGGTATATGCCTATCTCTGGAAATATTCATCAGAAACTTGAAGCATTAGTTGTTACTGGCTGGAAGAAAGAGTAGGAGGGAAATTTTTTGCTACCTTTTTACACCTTTTAAATTTTGAATCACATGAATGTGCATGGGGGGGAGAGGGGAGGGGGGAGGGGGGGGGGGGGAGGGGGGAGGGATTGCATTGGGAGTTATACCTGATGTAAATGATGAGTTGATGGGTGCTGACGAGTTGATGGGTGCAGCACAGCAACATGGCACAAGTATACATATGTAACAAACCTGCACGTTATGCACATGTACCCTAGAACTTAAAGTATAATAATAATAAAAAAAAATTAATTTAAATAATTGACAAGTAACTTATTTCTGGTTTTTAGAAATATGGAACTGAACAAGCTTTTAAATTTAAGATCATAAAATATAGAAAGAAATAGTTTTATTTTTCTAAATAACATTTTCATTTTCTACATATATGTTTTTCTAAATTATGTATTCCAAGTCCAGTTATGAGAGAGAGAGATTGTGGGAAATGAAAGGAGTGATAAACCACAGGAAAAAAGAGGGACCATGGGAAATGAGACTAAGACTTAGACGGGAGCCCAGGAACCTATGCCGAAAGAGAGGAGCCAGACAATCGGAGAAGTCTGGTGAAGCAGGAAGAAGTACAGCATTCTACAAGTTCTAGGGTCAGGACAGTAGGGTACAATGTTTTCGCAATAATGCCTTCCACATGGGACACGAGCTTTAGAGCAAACTATCCTGTTACAATAGTCTTCGAAATTATGTGAGAATAAAACGTTTATTTTTTCCATTGAAACCTAAGGGTTTTCTTATATGTGAAAAGAATTAGCAAAGGTTTAAGAAAGTCACTTAGGAACCTAGTATATCTTTGACATTCAAAAGTGGTCGAATTGCTTTGTCTTTTTTCACAAGAGAATTTGGGTTCCACTATTAAATAATGCCAGGCAGCTATATTTGAAAATAGTGTTTATTTCACCTTTTAAAGCCTCCCTTGACCACAAATAAGTCTAACTCATGAGACTATAATAATGTTTTATTTTTCCAATTTTTCAGTTAAAAATATCAAACTCCTGGAGGAGCCACCCTTAGAAAATGAAGCACAATATCGGCTTAATAAAATAAAAATTTATGTTTCTGATGACAATATCTTGGCTTGAATAATTTCATCTCCGAATGCAAATATAAGATAGAGTGAAGTTAAGTTGGGAACCAATCAAGTTTTGAAGGTTCCCATTTCTGGCATATAAAATAATGCAAGTTTAACGTTTTGGGAGACACCATTACCTCTATTGCCACCTGCTGGTAAACGTGTGTCTCATTTAATTCAGTTAATGGCTCACCCCTGATTAAACACATTTAGGATCCTGGAGATAGATTTGCAGCAAAATAACTTTTACTGCTTCAGAAGTGGTCACTGGTTTATAGATGCAGTGGCTGACGTATCACAGGATTGGTTGTGCTGAGTTATGTCCCTTAGCGTGTAGGACAGCCGAAGACAGCCCGGTTCTGAGGTTGAAGTCAACACTGATGAACAGAGATGCTTTTATTTATTCTGCATGCAGCCTTTCTCTTGCTTCTCCTACTCACGTGCTTTGTTCTGCTGCTCTTTCAAAACCTGCATTTCATACTCAATGCTTGTGCATTTAGCTGCAACACAAACACTCATAACTCACAGTGTGGCTAATGTTTACACATTTTCTTATAAACATAAGGAGCCTACTTTATCTGGAATCCTCACTTTATCTGGAATCTTAAGTAGAAGAAAAATATGACCATTTTCCTTCTATGGGACCACCTCGTGATGCTAATTGGTCATAATGTTCCCCCCAAATACTGTAAGATTCTGAGGTGGCTTTTGTTACCCATTTACTTATTTAAGGACAGTTGGGTGGCTGGTTTCAAGTTTTTGGTGATTCTGACTAGAGCTGCTATAAACATACTTGTACAGGTTTTTGGGTGAGCATAAGCTTTCATTTCTCTAGAGTAAAAACCTGAGGGATGGGATTATTGGGTCACATGGTTTCTGCATGTTTAACTTTGTAGGGAATTGCCAAACCATGGTCCAGAGTGGCTTTACTACTTTGCATTCATATGTGCAGTGCATGAGATTTCCAGTTGCTCTGCATCCTTGTCAGCACTTGGTATTGTCAGTATTTTTTATTTTATGTACAGTGGTAACACATTGTAGTTTTAATGGACATTTCCCTAATGATGAATAATTGTTGAAAACTTTTTGTGTACTTACTTATCATCTAGCTATCCTTTTTCACTAAGTGCCTTTTTAATTACATTTTTTACATTGGGTTGTTTGTTTTCTGTTGTGTTTTGAGAGTTCTGATATATTCTGGTTATGTCTTTGGGTGATATAATTCTTGAATCATCAAAAAATGTATGAATATTTAGGGTTTTTTAGTGTAAAGTTTTTAATTATATTTAGTTCTTGGTGATTTACATATGCAAGCCACCTAAGTCTATTAATTAAACTTTTCCATCACCCAGAACTGTGTGTATTTTGAATGATTGGGTGCTTTTTAAGGAGGCCTAGAGGGAAAGCTGGTAAACTGCCCCAATCAGAGTCTGGAAAGAGCCATTTGGTGGGTTCACAAAGGCAAGTCCAGGGTTTTTAGTCTTAAACTTGAAGATTCAGAAATGTGACTTGGTTGAGCCAGGCATGGTGGCTCACGTCTGTAATCCCATTACTTTGGGAGGATGAGATGGGAATATTGCTAGAGCCCAGGAGTTTGAGACCAGCCTGGGCAACATAGTGACTTCCTGTCTCTTAAAAAAAAAAAAAAGAAAGAAAAAGAAAAAAGAAATGTAACTTAGCCAGTGTCTCAAGAGCTGATCCCACTTGAGGACGCTTATTCATGCTAGCAAGGTTCTCAAGAGACCAAAGTGCAAGACCAGGGTAGCAGCTAATGCACTAAGGGAGCCTCTTATGTCTTCTCCTATAGCCCCATCTGATATTAACAAGGTTCCTTGAGGAGCTTGGAGTTGAAATAAAGGGGATTTAGCTACATCAGTGGTTGCGATAGAATTTTTACTAGGTCATGGTGAAAAAAAATAAGCATAATTTAACTTTTCTTAATGGATTCAACTTAAAGGGCTACCCTTTATTTTGAGGTTATATCCTTTCTACAACTGTGGCAGATTCCATATGAATTTATTTTCTTTGAGTGTATTAATGGCTTACTGGCCTAGAAACCATTCTGAAAGTAAAGAACCATTCTATGTTATAATTTCAGTCCTATCACCTGGATTTCTGAGACCTTGGGAGCTACCTCCCTCCCACTTCCTCATCTATATGTGTGTAAGTAAACTGAACTTGGCATTCAAGCCTCTATACAATCAGACTCTTGGCTTCTAATTTTATTTCAATCCACCTTACCATGAGAATCCTCTGCAGGTAAACCAGTCTTCTTGAAACTCCCAATATGCTGTGCCTTTTCTTGCCACTGGATATTTGCTGTATGATTCCTAGCGCACCACTCCCTCCTCCACTGATCTTCTTTGATGCCTTTTCAGCCCAAAGTGAACACACATTCCTCTGGGTTCTTATAGCACCTGTCTTCAGTACCATTCCCAAAGCATTTATCCCACGATATCTTTCATTGTGGGTGACTCGTGTGTGCTTTAATGAATGATCAGATAGTGCCCCCATTGGATGGAAAGCTTCTGAAGGGGGAGAAATAAAGGCCCACCTTTTAGAAATCTTGGCAAGTCTCACAGCAAATGGCACAGTACTTCTCACAGCGGGTGCTCAATAAGTGCCTGTTAAAGGAATGGATGAAGAAATAAATGTATGAGAAACAGTATATTTAAATTCTTGCAACAGAATTCCTCTTTTCACCCATGGTTACCTATGTGTTTTGATACTTGAGCACACTCTTATACACACATCCTATATAAATATACAAATCGAGGGCTCCCTTGGGCTATCTCCTCAGACGTGTGAGTCTGTGAGTGTGGCCTGCACATCAGCATGCCCAGGCAGAAGAATAAACAAGCAGGCACTCCCAACTGGGGAAGTCATTTGCAGCTCCTCCCATTATGACTGGCTGAATCTCCTTATTTAAAACAAACAAAGAGCTGGAAGAAGCAACCCAAGTGACCAGCTATTAGCAAGTCAGTTATCAAAACACAGACCTGGTCTTTAAACCTATAAAACAGCAAACCCTTAAAGTCTGCTCCTGACCTTTAGCATCTCTGTGGCCAGCTGGAACCTCCCCTAGCTCTCTCTTTAGGACCCTTAGGGGCCACACATTTGTATCACAGGGAAGCTATTTTTCGAGTTTATTAGGCTGAGAGCATTTTCATTAATCTCAAAGGGCGTCTCTCTCCTTTCCTTTGCTTCCTATGCCACAGGGCAAGGACTCCACCCAAAGGCAATCCAGCTGCCATTTTCCACAGCCTATGGTTAGTCAGAGAATTGTCTAAGGGCTGCAGAGAAGGAAGACCTGACATTTAGATCCTAGAGACAAGAGGGCTACTGTAGAGCCAGCAAAAATGACCAAAAGAGGAAATTGGAGCACGATCCAGGCCACAGGAGGGAGATGTGGTTCATCTCCTGTTTCTGATGTCCACTGAGTGGTCCCATAGTCTGGCCTGCTCAAGTGCTGGCCTGTCCACGTGCAAGCCAAGGGAGGGAAGTGTTATTAAACATCCTTTAATCTGTGATGCTTGTGAATCATCATTGTGGTCAACAAAATGGGCATCAATCCCCAATGCTGTAGATGGAAAAGGGGTAGAAAACAGAAAGGAATTTATAGCAACCACAGGCCACAGCCTGGCAGTGTTTTGTTTGGGTTTTTGAAATAAATTAGGTCTATCACCTTTTCATTGTCCTTCACTTCTTTCTCTTAAAAAGTAGAGTGTATTAAAATACTGGTTGCATAACTATTCTATTTGATTATATAATACCAACTTTATAGAGTTGAATAAAACTGCATTACACAATTATATAATGTGATTTCACCTATACAGTAAAAAAGAAAGATGGAGAGAGGACTCAAAGGAACTGTACTAAAGTTAACAGTGAGTGACACTGGGCAGTGGAGTCATAGATAATATTTCCTGCTTCTTTATACTTTTCTTTCAACATTTTCTCTAATCAGCATTTATTACTCTGAAGATCTGGAAGATGCTGATCAAATTTTTTTTTTTTAAAAATAACATTATATTGTACAGAAAAGTTGTTTTCAACCTAATTTATCTTTCAAAGGTTTTGCCATTTTCTACCTGTGTGACCTTGAGTAGGTTACTTAACCCTTTGAATCTTAGCTTTCCTCCTCTGTAAAATGGGGATAATAAGTGTTTACTTCCATCAAAGAGCTGTGTGAAAATTAAATGAGAAAACACAAGCAACTCATCTAGTACTGAGCCTGATGAAGCATAGATACTCAATAGTGGGTAATCAAAAACTGTGAAGTAACACCTCTCATTTCTTATAGGGTAAGCAACTTTAGGAGCCTGTTTGGGCCAGTCTTGAAAATGGAGGGACTCCATTTACTTCCTGCCACTGTGATAGTCCACTGTATGATTTCTTGCTTTTCTTCAACTATGCCTGAGAATGGCTTGACCCAAATTTCAGAAGCTTAATGAAGTCCTAAAGGCAATTATGTAAGTGTAAATAATAGAATGAGGTGGTAAAATGCAGGCACACGTGCTTTGAATTTGGAAAAACCAGAGTCTAAATTTTTCTAATTACTAACTGTGTGATCTTAGGCAAGTGACTTAAGTTTTTGGAGTCTTGATTTCCTCATGTTTAATAATTCTAACATCCATTGAGTCATTATTACGTGTCAGGCACGAGGCTAAACATTTTATGTACATTAATATATTTAATCAACGTGGCCACTCCATGCCACGTAATTATTATCCCCATTTTACAGATGAGGAAGAGGTAAAGGAGGCTGCCTGAGGTCGCAGAGCTGCATATTGGTAGTTTGAATTTTAACTTAGACAGTCTGACACTAGAGCCTATCTTCCTCACCACCATGCTTATTTGAGGAATTTCATAGATAGTGTCCCCAAAGGATGTATGTTGGAAAAGATATTAATATTCCAGATGTTGCATACCAGTGTCTCAGGTGAATAATACTTGGGTTCATCTCTTTCCCGTACTCCTTTTCTTCTTTTTTTTTTTTTTTGAAATAAGGTCTGGCTCTGTTGCCCAGGCTAAAGTGGCATGGCTTGATCATGGCTTACTGCAACCTCAGCATCCTGGATTCAAGCAATCTTCTCACCTCAACCACCCAGGTAGTGGGGACTACAGACACCTGCCACCATACCTGGCTTTTAAAAAATTTTTTTGTAGCAATGAGGTCTCACTAAGTTGTCCAGGTTGGTCTCAAACTCCTGGGCTCAAGCAGTCCTCCCACCTTGGCCTCCTAAAGTGCTGGGATTACAAGCGTGAGCCACTGCACTCGGCCCACACTCCTTTTCTTAATATTCAGAGCATTTCAAGGAAAGGCAACAATTAAAAAAATGCTTTAGTTTGTTACACATCATCTTTTAGACATTGTGCTAATATTGGCTTATTATTCCAATCCTAACACTACTAATGACAGTTACCACTTACTGAGTACTTATAAGTTACCAGGTACTAGGCTAAGGGCTTTGCATACTTTATCTTAGTGCATCCCAACAATAAACTTATGAAGTAAGCTTTATTAGTCCCATTTTGTAAATGAGAAAACCGAGACACAGAAAAGAGAAACTTGCCAAAGTTCACATGAATAGTAAATGGTGGAACCAGAATGCAAGCCCAAATCTGTCTGGTTTTTAAGTCTCTGCATTTAATCATCTCATTACACTAGCTTCCCACCCTCCTCATCATTTTTTTTGTGTTTATCTATGTGGCTTTAGAGTAGCATGAAGGATCACCCTGGGATCAGATTATTCTGGAAAGCTATCCAGTACTGTGCTTTTTCTACTTTCCATGGAGGCTGGAGAGGCAAGATTCACTATGAGAAGGCTGAGATCACCCAGTAGCCTAGCACCGTAGGCTTAGGTCAGCACATCAAATCTGTTATACACCATTGCAGTAGTTGCTAGTGCTCTTGGCAAAATCGTTCATTTTCCTTAATCTAGGCATAGGGAAGACTGAACTTGAATTCCTACGGTTGAGTGGAATCTTGTAACTAGTTATGACCTTTGAATTTTGTGTGGAAGTGACATGCAACAGACACTTCCAGCCTGGAGCCTGGAGCCTATTTGTGACTTTTTAGAGCTTTCTTTTCTCTTTGGTACAACAGCCAGCAGCATTCAAGACGGTGGCTGCTCCATCAGCCTGGGATTCCAGGTGACTACAATAAGCAAAGTTGCCTGATGAATTGTGATGAATATGTAGCTTCAGTACAAAAGAAACCTTTATTATTTGAGCCACTTAGATTTGAGAGTTGTTTGTTACTGCAACATAACCTAGTCTGTCCTGACTGATACAATCATGTAGCACATTGTGGACCATACAAGCAGTGCCTGGACATCAGTGTGCTAGTTGCCAATGTACTGTGTCCATGACTATCATCAGTGTAGGGGAGGAAAGAAAGACGAAAGGGAAGGCAGAGGGTGGTAGCGACAGAGACAGAGACTAACTTTCACTTCTGACAGAACCTTTAGGAAGCTGTGTCTTTTACTGTGATGAAACATCAAGAAACCACAAGGACTGTGACTGTATCTTGCTCAGTATTTCCAGTGCCGAGTAAGGTGACTGACACTTATTAAATATTGCCGATTTCATGATATGTTGGACTAGCATTTTATAAACAACAAAATCTTCAGGAATACACGTTCTTGGAACATTTTACATGGTTTTGGGATTTAATTTAGTCAAAATCAATCCAACTTTCCTAGTTAGCATTTTAAATGTGGCTAGCTTAATTCCTTTGCCTTTTGTCACTTATTAGTTCAAGGTTTCTGGCCCTGGGGTCTCAGGATACTGGGCATGTGCTGTTTTTTAAAGGGGGCCTTCCTGTGCCCTTTTCTCCATCAGAAATTAACACAATCCTTACGCTTCAAAATGAAGCAGGGAAGCACATTCATATTCAGATAAGAGTTTTCACTCTAATTAAAGAATAAATAAATAAATACTTTAGCTCAAATTTATGCTTAATCTGAAGGTCCACGATCCCTTCATGGAGTGCGGAGCTGCTCATATAGAGGGATGGGTGGAGGTGACTCATTCTGTAGAGCAACAGCTGCAGCCATCACATAGACAAGCCGCCAGACCCCACAGGTCAGGAGAAAAGAGACACGGAGAGGGAAAAGGAGGAATGAGTGCTCTTAGAGCAAAGAAACAAAGAAACAACCTTGTGCTTGCATGAAGTTCTACAAGGTTGAACACCTCTTCAGGTAACTCCCTTCTTCTTCTTGTCAGTCATTATTCCATCATTTCTTTCAAGAATCACTTGCCAGCAAGCCAGTGTCCTACCGTCACTAGACTGTGACTTCCTGGAGTGCAAGCATGATGTCTCATTCATCTCTTAGTCATCCTACCCCACACTTTGTGCCTAGCATGGTGGAGGCTACGAGTAGATGTTTGAGGAGCAAATGATACCTCCGGAGCTGGGACCATCCTGTAAACTACAACTAAGTGACCCTGAAAGGGGGGCCATTAAACTTCCACTCCTAGCCCTAACTGAGGACGTGGGTTGCTCACTTTTCAGTTTTCACACAAGTTCATTTGCAGCTGCTTTCATCATTTATTTGATTCCTCTGCTTTCAACAAGTTGGTGTTGCGAAAGTTCAGCTAACTATCCCCACGGCTCCCC